TGACCAACTGGTGAACCCATGTCGAGAACTCTAAGTAAGTCGGGAAAAACCACTCGGATGTAAGATTTGTCCGAGCAAAGGAAGCTCATCGATATGACCCATGTTGATCATTCATTCTCTCAATAATGGATCATTCAGAAGATCGGTGCATTTGAGATGCAAATTAATACTTATTAAGTGTTACATAAAATGAATGATCAATATGCTGAATAGATCGGCATCCTTCAGTATGAAATAGATTAGAACTCCAAATATATACAATGTGTCATTTTTATTTAAAATGATACATTTTAAACTTTATTCCATTTGAAGCTTCTTTTCAAAAGTCTGTCCTTAATAGAGTTAGAAATTCGTCTGATTTGTATAAAATGTATTAGTTTGCAATACATATTGCCAATGCTTTCATCGTGGAAGATAAAAGACAGCGTTAAGTATCGAAGAGAGTTACCACTCATCCGTTTATTTAAACTGCTGGATATTACTATTTAAAATTTCGCAGATCACTGTTAAAGTAAGCTTAGCGCAATTCTCTTCAATTGTTGTGAAAACACTTCTGGATATTAAAATTCTTGTGAATTTTATTAAAAGAGCAAGAATACTCATTAATGTGCGGTGATCTCTTCATTATAAAAAGTTTGTTTTAGCCAATTTATTGATTGACTGATAAATAAAAAATATAAATGCATCAAGCGGGATAAAAATGAATTTTAAAGAGAGAAAATTCTTTTTTGGTATAACTAATGACATTACAAATACTATGAGAAACTATTATACTAATTCCATATGGAATTTCCTAATCTAAATAATCATTTAACATCATTCTCCCATGAAATACCATAGCAGAGGAGCTAAAAACTCTAATCACTGCCAGACATATCCCGAATTTAACTGTACCCATTAATTCTTCTCACTTCTTTTAAATTGTAAACAAAAATTTTTGTTAGCCAGCTTTCAAATTCTGATCAGGTAATTAATTGATTATCTGATCTAATTTGATGCCCTAATCTTGCCTTTGCAATCTTTCCAAATGAAAATACTAGGAGAGATTATTCTAAAGCAGTGTAAAAACAGTATACTAATTTGTTTTGCTCTTGCACCGTTCCATACTTTTTTCCATTGTTAGCACTTCCAAATTATAACACTAACATTAGCATAATGAAAGATATCAAGGCGCATCGTTCAAAATACTTTTTACCAATATGAAAAGGGTAAAAAGGAAATATTTTAGAAATAATCCGGGAAACAAATAAAACAGCAAAATGTAACCCGAAAAATCTCTGTACAAATTCAATTATGTTCTTCCAAATGCATCATTCAAAATATGCCATAAATAACATAAAACAACTCATTACGATCAGATGTAAAACATGGAAATGATATGGAATAGGGAAATATTATAATGTTATAACGGAAACATGAAAACATGGAAATATTATTATAAGGATCTCGATAGTTATTACCATCCTTGAGAAATTGTCGTTAACTGTCATTACTGGCCGTACTTCCGAAAATCTTGGCAAATCGCCTTAATCTAGAAAATTTTTAAACTCAATTCACTTTGCGATTTCAGGAGTTTTGCTTTCCTGATGCGGTATAAATATTATATTTTCCTACGAACACGTCCCCATTCTTCTAATAGAAAACGGAAACTGAAATATATGGAAAACTGGATTTCAAATCGAGTTTTTATAAAAATTGCATTATAACTATAATTCTTAAAATTTAATCAAACCTTAACAACAACATCCATGGATAACATATTAAAATTTCACTTAATTTTACATCGTTTCAGGGTTCTTAATATCCACGGAATGAGAATACATGACAGAAATATACTGTGTTCAATCATATAGAAACATACAAATCTAAAATGAAAGAAATTTACTTTTAACTCATTACTTCAGAATCATAAATTCCCGGGCTAGTTACGGTCCTTGCTTTCCGTTTTCTTAATGTCATTCCCAAACTTCGTCCCGGAGCAACGTTAGGTCTTTTTCTGACTGGTGACTTGGTCGACTGTCGATTTTTGCGACCATTTTCTCTTGGCATACGCTTTGCATTGCCACTTTTTCTTACTTCACCTCCTTTTCGACCCTCCTCAATATCCTGAAAAAAAGAATAAGAATATTAACAAAAAATGTCTCCAAAAAATTTTCAGCCTTTTTTTTCAATTAACTGCAAGAAATCGACAAAAAAACGTGCCGTTGTGGCTTCGGGGAATAACGAAGACCCTCGTTCGTCGCTCACCGAATTCTGTTCGCAATCTTTTACTGATAATGTTTGCAAAGGACATTTTGGATGGTGTGAAGGATGAATGTCACCCATCAACATGCCATCGACAATTTCAACTAGCGCAATCTTAAAAAAAAACAAGAAAAATTTCCAACAGAAAGGCTTTCTAGAATTATATTTTCGAAAAAATAAATTTTCTGGATCGTCTTACAAATTTTTTGATGACTGAGAATCATTTTTGAAGATCCTACTAGAGAAATAAATGTACTTATCAATTACATATTATTTCTTCATAAAAATTACTATCAATCTTCGTCCTAAAACAATTACTATCAATCTTCGTCAAAATTTTATTATTCACTGTCTATTGCGCAGTGAGCATTTTCTATACAAATGAACAAGGACATTACTGTATTTGTGACGTATCACTTACTGGATCTTTTTTCATTTTATGTAATAAATCACAATCGGCGCATTTATATGATTCACGATTCTGCGCTGCCTTGTTCAACCGATAGACACGATAACCTTCTCCTTCTGCAATGGCAATGTTCATATTTCCTTGCTCATCAACTAGCCTTGTATACTGTTCGTTTCCATCTTCAGCACTACATTCCTGTTGCAATGGTATCTCGTAATCTACACTGTAATAAATGTCAGTTTTATATTTTTCATAGTAACATTTTTTAATCACTCAACAAACTTCTTAAACTCGAATAACTTCTCATATATAATGCTCTAATGAGATGCATTCCGGGACATAAATGTCACGTAATTATGAAACAACACAGAGAAGCATTTTTTATCCTACATTAGCTTTCTCACGCACATATGAAGCTTTCCGGGATCCGCCCATACAATCATTTTCCTATTTATGGCTTCATTGGGACCGACAGGTCTCAAAGATCAAAGTAACTGATTCGATCCTAGAAGCAAGATTATTTTACCGCACAATCATTTCACTCCACAAATAAGCAAGTCTGACCTGTTGTCCGCTTTCTGCCTGTTCTCCTCAGTATCGTTCATCTCCTATAAATAAACTGTTTTGATGTAATGAAAAAGCAGACCACTAGCATAAAATAATTTTGCTTAATTATAGATGATTTCTACTATTTGACCAAGGAATCATAAAATTCTTAGAGTTACCAACAAAATAAGTATTCTTTCAAATTTCAACAACTTTTTGTATTTCAAAGGAAAGAATGGCTCTCTGATACATAGCTGCTGTAATTTTGTTTTATAAAAGATAAATAGATTGAGATAACTATGAATATACATGATATTAACACAATCTTAATGAAAACTTGCAAAGATTCCGAAATATTAGCGAACAAAAAATTTGTAGATAACGATAGTATTTCAAAATAACATTTTAATAGAAATTCCGTTGAAACTTCTATAAAATCTTGTTTTCCTTGTAAATTACAAAATATAATCTTTCGTTTTTATGAAAAACAACGCACTTTTGTGGGGGGTAAAATAATGTTCGATGAATGCAACGCAACATATTCGAACAACTGTTTCACAGCTTCTTCACAAGTAATATGTTGAGATTTCAAGCAGCGAATCAATCTTTTAACTTCCTCTTTTATTTCAGTTCGAGACCTGAAGCAAATATTCTATATTGCATCAATAAAAATAAATTTGCATATAATCTTATATTATCATCACAGAAGAATGTGTAGCGATAAATGAATTACTTTAATTCTAGTCCTGCAATTGTGAACTAAATATTTTTCAAAAAAAATTCTTTGACACACTGCAGAAAAAAGTTACCGAATGCCGCTTACGCATGAAATTGTACTAGTCGTGCCCACCTGAAAAGGAACATTTTTTATC